CAGGGTCTCCCTGTAGCCCCATCTGGCCTGGAACTCACTATGTAGACTAGGCTGGCCTTGATTTCAGAGATCTGCCCGCCTCTGCCTCCTCAGTGCTGGGATTAAAGGTGTGCATCACCATGCCCTATTATTATTAGTTTTTTGAGACAAGGTCTCCTGTAGGCCAGGCTATCTCAAACTCACTATGTAGTAGAGGCCAGCCATAATCTCCTGATCCTCATTGCTTCTGCTTGTTGAGTGCTAGAATTGCAGGTATGCACAACCACACCCAGCTTATTAGTATTTTTTAATTTGAAAAATATTTTTCTCAACTAAATTGGAAAAGTATTTTATAGGGAATGAACAATAATTTTAGTAAGCAGAAATTATTAGTAGCTGACTTTGCATAGTGGGCTCTAATATGTAGAGCTCATCTGTGTATACTGCATGACCACATTTCCTTTGAAGCTGGGGACATCCCTCTTACAAAGGGGAAACCAAGTGGGATTGACATCAGGATATTTTACCTACAATCTTTGCTTACACAGAATCTATCAAGGCAAATAGAAATATGCACTCTAAGAATATGCAGGTTCCAAATTTGCATTTTGTCCACTATGTAGCTTTGTGATGTTGGACAAGTCACTTACCTGGCTGTTCAAACTGAGGCAATAAAAGATGAAAGGTGAAAATGTACATGGCTGTATGAGATCAACCTTTACTATTACAGTCTCGCTCTTCTGATTTATTTATTTTGAAAGAAAATGTAGGTAGGAAGGAATGCCATCTAAAAATGGACCATTTTGATGATCAATTTGTAACAAGGAATCAGATCTAAGTGTCTTCTCTAACATAGATGATGGAAACTATTTGTATTCTTAGCAACAGAAGTTTCCAGATCTCCCTGGGCCTGTTTCCAACCAGCTGGACTAGTTTGCAGGCACTGCAAGGACTAGGTGACCTCTCTAAACCAGCAGAGTCATGCCGAATGACAGGAACATTTCACCCAAGAAGGGCTCTTATTTTTATTCCTCTTGGACTGAAGAAGGGTTCAGCCAGAGAGTGGACAGATCTGCTCGGTGTCACAGGCTTCCCACCTGCTGCTTGAGGGCCTAGGATTTTGCCGGGTCATTCTACACAGCCAGCTCGCATCTGCCCAGATGACAGGTGAATGAACCCCGTCTCAAGGGGGCTTGAATGTCATCACTCTGGCAGAACTGCTGCAGTTATCTAACTGTGACGAGCACTGAGAAGTCCAACAGCCCAGAAAAAAAAACAACAAAAACAACAACAACAACAAAAAACCCCAAAGCCAAACCAACCAACACCCACGGGAAAAATTCCCTCCAACTTCAGAGCCCAAAACCTAAACAGTTGCTTCTCCCTAGGTGAACCACCAACAAAAAATGTATAAAGGAGTGTGTGTGTGTGTGTGTGTGTGTGTGTGTGTGTGCGCGTGTGCGCGTGCGCGCGTGTGTGTATAACAATCACCAAAATAGACTCAATAGCCTGAAAGTCATGGTTAAACTCACTTGCATTACTTCATTATTAAAATTTTGCTAATTTTCATTAAGTTTTTTTTCCCTCCCAGAAGAGGGCTTAAAGCAACAGACCCTAATGGCGGTGTCAGACTTAGGTAGATATTTGGTGTGGGGTGGAAGGGTAGCATGGGATGGCTATACTGAAGGGTTTTGAGTGCAACCAGTTTTGTGGCTTAAAAAGGAAGCATGCATTGATGTGTCTGAGAGCCAGCTGAAGCAGGAGAGCTGGAACAATCAAAGGTACAGAAGGTTTTAACACAAGTCAAAATATGTTGGGGCTTGCTTTTTGAGTAACTCTCCCTTGCTGGTTTTTCTGCCTGATATATGCTCCCATTTATCTAGAGGGTGATGTGGAAGGACTGAGTGAATTTTTACTTGGGGGAGACTGGCTGACTGAGTGACCGACGGACAGATTCACTAAGGAACTATGGTGTTCTCTGTCTGAGGGGGTCAATCTCAGGAAGAAGCTCAAAGGACCCACCTAGACCCTGAAGTACTGGGGGGTAGGAAAGACAGGTTGAAGAGACTGTTTTCTGCGTGCCCTAAAACCCTTAGGGGCCTGAAAAGATGGGGTTTTTTCTTTGTTTAAAACTAGGACAATATGAATGTTAACAATTCAATTTGAGAGTCTGGATAAGCTTTCTGCTCTTGAGACTTACCCGTACTACGTAGTTGAATCTTCTGGAATCCAGGATGGCAGTAGAGAAGTCCAGTCTGTTGAAAGCTTCCCCCAGAGTGCAGTATCCATGGCGCTGCATGTGAGACAGAGACACATGTTACTCCCGCCATGTGGAGGCTGTTCTCTAGAACAGTCCAACAGAACTCCACTGAACCAGCTGGCTACCTGTTTAAGGCAACTAGGCTTTGACTTCCTTCCTGTAATCTGCATCCCGGGAGCCACAAGCTGGGTGGTGTAGCCTGCCTGCATCTGCTTCTGTCAGGGACTAACCTGTGGGATGCACCATTTCATGACCTGTACCACCTGGGCTTTTGCTCTCTGCACACGCTAGTCAGGGAGTGCTAGGGTACAAAGTGTAACTGGGAGTTGGGTATAAAGTTTTGGGAGCATGGCAGTTGGTGACTGTTTTGTACTCATGGTGTGGGATTAGATCTATCTGCCTCAACTGTGGCATTACCCTGCTTCAGACTGATAATGTTTTGCTTTGTGAGGAAGCAAAAGAAGCATTGATCCCATGGATGCACAGGGAATCGGAAGTATAGAGCTCTGGCTCATCATCTCAGTCCCACTGAAAGTTTCTTGGTGATCCTGGGTTCATCCCTGACCCACTCTCTCTGGGTCTCAAGTCACAGAGGAGCTAGGTATTCATCAAGATTCATGAAAAGTAACAGAAGTGCTGTCACTCGCTCATACCACCCCATGTTCTAGTGAGCATATTGCCTGTGCAGAAAGAAAATGTATACAACAGGGTTTTATCAAGTGTCATAGAAGATGGTATTATAAGACCTTGTACCTTCCTATATCACACAGAGACGGCACTGAAAATGCCTGCTGGGTTTAATGATTAGTCCTCTCAGGGCTAAACTTTAAGGAAGCTGAAGTTGTGAGGAGGTCCTAGAACCAACAGCAGCTATTCTTCTGAGGCAAATCTAGTTGAGATGTGCATATCAATCTTATTAAACACAACATTTATTTTATTTTAAATTATGTGTATATGTGTGTGGGTATGTGCACATGAGCGCAGGTGTCCTCAGAGCCAGAGGTAGTGGATCCCCTGGGAGCTAGAGTTATAGGTGGTTGTGAGTCATCCATTGTGGGTATTGGGAATTGAACCTAGGTCCTCTGCAAGAGCAGTACATGCTTTTAACCACTGAGCCATCCCTCCAGTCCAATAAAGCACTTTTAAGTATATGACCTCACAGGATGACTGGAGAGCCCACTATGACTGACTGACTCTCTCTGCCAGCAGGCTGCTGCCCTCCTGCTCCTATTAGACTTGAAGTACTGCTGTTGTCCAGTTCTCCCTTGCAGTCTCAGGAAGGTATAGCATCTCAAAGTATACTTTAGTAAATGGATGTGTGCTCACCTCTTTAGTACTTCCTTTGTGAACATAGATCCATTTTTCTTGGTGGAAATCTACAGAGGCCAAAAAAGAAAAAGGATACACATTTGAAAAATTTGTAGCAGGTTTAAGGTATTAAACATGACTTCTAAAAATTAATTCCAAAGTTTAAAACATGTTGACAAAAAAATTAAAAAGTCTTCACTGACAACCTAAGGGGATGCAAATACTTAAGTTTTGCATAAATACTGGAGCTCTAACTTGTTTCATCTGAAGCATTTTGAATCTTTGATAGTCAGGCTTAGTGTGCCAAAGCTCCAGTCTACAAAAAAGTCTAATACCAAGAACATTTGTTTTAAATTCCAAACCTAAAAGTGCCACAAGACCATAAAAAGTAGAAATAGAACAGAAACATGAGGAAAACATGCAGATTAAGTGGATTAAATGAAAATAATATAAAATTCATGCTTATTAATAGACCCTTATGTCCTCTGCTAATACATACAGTATCTAGACATGTGAGTGAGATTTATACAAGGGAAGTGGGAACAAATCTATTTTTTACCTTTCTTTCATTTTTGAGCCAGGGTGGCCTCAAACTCACTATGTAACTGAGGACGACCTTGAACAACTTCTGATTCTCTAGCCTCTATCTCCCACATACTACAATACCCAGTTTTTGCAGTGCTGGGGATGAACCCAGGCCTTTGTGCATGCTAGGCAAGCACTGTTGTAGCTGAGCTATGCCCCCAGCCCCACAAATTTAATTTCAAAGTCTCAAAACACAGTTGAAAATAAAAGCATCGCTGGAATGAATTCAGCTAACCACATCCCTGTGCAATAACTATCTTACCTACGTCAAATGCAAGTGACAAGCAGGGATAAACACCCCAACTGGCAAGGACTTATAAACAGGACTCTAAAGAATGCATTAATCTGCCTGTGAAACATATATCCAGGTTTATGGGTGCAAAGATTCCAGGAGCCTTTGTTAGTGACATAGTAAGCATTAAAGCAGTTGGCTAATGTGGGAGGTATGACTTTTCCCCCCAAGGATCACTCATAACAATCTTCAAACAGACTTTTCTTCTTCTTCTCCTCCTCCTCCTCCTCCTCCTCCTCCTCCTTCTTCTTCTTCTTCTTCTTCTTCTTCTTCTTCTTCTTCTTCATCTTCTTCTTTTTTCCTTTGGAGATGAGGTCTGTCTCACACATTACCACAAGGTAGGAACACTTCACACTCCTCCTCCTCCTCCCCCCCCCCTTCCTCCTCGGTTTCATGTTGTCCCAGACTGGCCTTGAACTTACTATGTACCAAGGATTATGGCCTTGAACTTCTGATCCTCTTGCCTCAACCTCCCAAGTACTAAGATGATAGGCATGGGTGACACCTTTATGCAGTTCTAGGGATTGAACCCAGGACTCTGTGCCTCCTAGGTAGGCACTCTACCAACTGAGCTGGCCCAAGATACCTTTCTTTTCAAAACAAATGGCTTACAGTGAATTTTGGTTTTGCTGTTTAGTATGTCTTTCTTTCTCTTCTTGGCTGCAACATCATAGTTCAGGCTGTTGAAAAGATTCTCCTTATTACTGTACACCTCCTTGTTGCAATAACTGTAACAGACGAAAAAGGAGATGTAACCCATAAATAACTCACTGGGTTATAAAACATACCAACATATATGCTTCCCAGACAAAACAAACATCAAAATAATCTTTAAAAAGTCCATATATAGGCACAGACTTCTTTCTCTTAGGACAAAATATTGTCCCCACTATGTGGAAGGCAGGGATGGGGACTCGTGTTTCTTTTGAATTTCCTAACAGGGTCTACCATTGTAATTTGACACACAGCACTGTACTCTTTAACTAAGCCATGCAGGCCACTACACTGTCACTTGAAACAAAAGTGCTGAATGGGGGGTAGTGATGGCTGGTATCACTGTACCACACAGGGCCTTCATTATTTGAATGCATCTATTCCAAGCTGCTGTGACTTCTTCTTTCTTTTCCCACTAGCTTCCTTCTTTCCATCCCTTCTGCCCCCTTCCTTCTTTTTTTTCTCTTTCTCTTCTTTTTAAGATAGGATTCTACAAGGTAGCACAGGCTGGCCTTCAACTTACTATGCAGCACAGTCAGGTCTCGAACTCATGATTCTCCTGCCTCAGTCTCCTGAGTGCTGACTTTACAGAAAGCTGGGATTGCAGGCCTCTGTCACCACAACTTCACTGAGATATAAGTTTCATATTATACAACTTCAGTGAGATATAAGTCACATACTGTATAATTCACTCATTTAGAAAGTATATCCAAACTGCTTTAACTAGCATGCTCCTATCATACCTTTAAAACACAATCACATTTATGAAAACCTGACTTATAAACTCTCCTTCTAGCAGATGTTTAGTATACAGTGCTGGTTGTTTAGGTCCCTGCCTAACTAACACTAGGCCTCATGCCGAAAGGTGAAGATGTTGGGTCTTAACAGAAACCAGGTAAACTAATAATGCATAAACTTAGAAGGGCTGAAAAAAACATCAAATTTACCTGTCCAATAGGTCATTGAAAAGTGGGCTGGTCCAATTTTGGCCAGGTGCCTACTTCCCTCAGCAGGCTGAGGTATTATGGGGGTAGAACTGATGGTCTTGTGTGTTAAAGAAAATCTCTGAGTATTTTCCACAAAGGTGATAGAGAAGAAATGCTAATAAAGTTTAACAAGAAAATGAGTTCCCCATCCCCCTTTTTTTTTCTTTTTTTAGATAGGGTCTCCCTGTAGCCCCCAGTGGCCTGGAACCTGATATGTAGACCAGACTGGCCTCGATCTCCAGCAGCCTCTGCCTCCTAAATGCTGGGATTAAAGGCGTGTGCCACCAGGGTTTCTCGACTTCTTTCAACCCTTAAGAGGGAGGCAGGATTTATAATGACAACCAGTACAAGATTTGTTGTTGTTTCGTGTGTATGTGTGTGTGTGTGTGTGTGTGTGTGTGTGTGTGTGTGCGTGTGTTATCATCACTATATTAAGGGTCCTTTAATTTTATGACTTCCTCTGCAGAGTTTAAAATGTGATTTGATTTATATCTTTTTGAAGGGCTAGTATGAAGTATATCTGTACTTCCTTATTTTCTGCTTTGTGTGATTAACTAAAGGGAAAAGAGGACTGGAAACAGTTTCCAGTACACTTTTGTGACAATTAGTCTCTCCAGCAGCACTTGCAGCAGCATAGTGTCTTACTATAATACTGACATCATCAGCAGTATGCCCCACACTACTGTCAGAACCCACAGGGGAAAACCTGACTGACCATCTGCTAACCTTCCTTCTTAAAGACACATGTAATGCCATTTATCGAGTTTCCTAATGTCTTTAGCCTTCTCCTTTTCATTCAGGGAAACAGGATATTTTTAGGCTTCACATTGGGTATTGCAGAAATGTTCTTGCTCAGAGGCACTTGCTTAAGTGAGCCAAGGGTGAATGTTTTGGGTCAAGCTTTGTGTGTGTTTGTCTGCTTGCATGACTGTGAGGGGTACAGAGTCACTGACCAGGTGATGATCTGTTTCAAGGTCAGCAGAAAGAAAGGGGCAGAACAGAGAACAGAATTCTGAGTCCTTGAGGCCAACTTAAGCAATTTCAATCAAAGCTGAGGAAAAGATGTAAAGATGTAAAGTCACTTGAGTGGTCCATGATGTTCCAAAGCTTTAGAAAGCAAAGCTAAAATACCACATGAAGGGCTGGAGAGATGGCTCAGTGGTTAAGAGTACTGGCTGCCCCTAGGTTCAGTTCCCAGCACCCACATGGCATCTAACAACTGTCCGTAACTCCAGTTCTAGGAGTTATAATGCCTTACCCTTTTCTGACTTTTGTGGGCATTTTACACATGTGGTGCACTTACATACATGTAGCAAAACACTCATGCACATAAAAATAAATAAAACAGGGGCTGGAGAGATGGCTCAGCGGTTAAGAGCACTGACTGCACTTGCAGAGAACCTGGGTTCGATTCCCAGCACCCACATGGTGGCTACGAACCGTCCTTAACTCCAGTTCCAGGGGAATCCAAAGCCCTCTTCTGACCTCCTTGGCATTGCACTACATGGGTGCACTCACATACATGCAGGCAATACACTCATACATATAAAATAAAAATAGTATCTTAAAAAATAAATAAAAGGAAAAATATCACAGGAAGGCTTATTTGTAACACACATACAAACATACACACCACACGCAGTCCTACAAACAACAAAACCTACAGCAACAATTCTACATCTGGAGAACCACAAAATGAAAACTATCATATTTTCAGTCACACATTTAAGAGTCAATAGGAACTTTCTATATGAGCTATAGATTGTGACCAGTCTTTCGAAACTTTAAATGTTTATACCCCATCTTATATTTTTCTAATGGAAAGTATTCTTTAAGGAGATCCGAGCATTTGCTTTCTTCACAGAAGCTATAATAAACTGCTTTAAGCCTGAGTGACTCATTTCAAAAGCCAATTCAAGAAGAATTTACATAGCTGATGCTTTCTTGCTGTGGAATGTAGAGAAGTTTTTTTGAGAAGTTTTAACAGAAGGGAAACCCTGTACTTCTAGGTTGGTGTTAGTTTGGAATTCTGGAGGTTGGGCCTGGAAGGAAGGCTGTGGAGTTTATTTGTGTTGTCTGCTTATGTTTTCTTTTAAGAAATAATATATTCAGAGGCTATTTTGAGAGTTCAGTTATGTCCATTTCCAGGAAATGAAAAACCAATGGAAAATTACAACTAAAAAGTTTTAACAAGAAAAGCGACGGACATTTATAAATTATAGCATATATATATTTAAAATGAGCAAAACCATCTTGGGGAAGCTGCTTTCATCACCAAATCAACAATAGCCAGTAAGTTGTTGCTTTGTAGTCAGTTCTTACTAATCTTGATTTTTGTAGGCACAGGCCTAGAACAAGGAAAAAGCTCTCCCCATCCAGCACCACACTACCATCAAACATGTACCGAAATATTTTAAAGCAACTTTAGAAAAGGTGATAAGATTTAAAATAAGAGCATAAATAAGACCATTCTGGCAGCAGACAAAGGAGGAGATAGAAAAAAAAAATGAGTTCTGCTTCTTACTTCACTGCAATTAAGGAAAACATTTAATAAAACCATGTCTTGATCCAAAGTAGTTGTATAGCCCTAACTATGGCCAACGAGATTTTGATGCTGATTTGCTCTAAGTCATATCCAAGTTGCCAAACTTAAAATGGCTGGCTCCCAGATGACTTCAGTGAAATAAACAGCCTGTGTGCGAAGGAAGCTCTTAGATACTGCCTTACACATAGTAAGCACTCATAAAAAAAAAAAAAAATCTCAACTATTATTTTTATCCAAGACATCAAGGCCAACTTCCTGCTTCCTAGACCAGCCTTAGCAACACAGTAAAGCAACCCTGGAGTGTGTTTTTAACAGTAGATGTGCAGGCTTGGAGAAGAGCACTTAGATGACTCATCCTGAGCTTGGGGCGAGGCAGGGGTGGCTAGGGAGGAGGCAGTGTGGGCCATCTCAACCACCACTTCCTTGAAGCATTCTTGGATCACTCCAACTCATACTGTTATTTCCTTGAAATTTTAATCTGCTTCACCGAGTGTAACATTTGTCATTTCCCTCCCTCAACTTTTAAAGCAGGAACCTGCCTTAAGTTTATCTAAGTCCTTCCACTATCTCAGGAGGTTCTTGGCTGCTACAAAGACTATATGTAACATTTGACTGTTGGAAGACAGGGCCCTTGACCACAGGGAAGATGGTCAGTAGGGTTCAGAACAGGTGTGCCATGCAGACAAATCAAGACCCACACCAAACAATAATCCTACCAAGTGCACCCTCATTCTTTACTCTTGGTAGGAAACTCCCAAGATGGTGCATGGAATAAGAGAAGCGGTCCATGCTTCAGTAGTTGGGTTTACAGTTCCCTCACCGTCTCTTATAAAAGGCCTGGTTTTTGTTTTCTCAGAACAAGAGAGGGCATTCAAGCTCACCTGTGCAGCCAGGCACAGAGCCCAAACTTGATGTCACAGAGAAACCAAGACGGAAAACAGTGGGATATTTGAGATCACAAGCCCAGGCCTCAGAAGGCCAACTGCTTTTAAGAAGTTGGCAGACTCCCGATAAGGAAGGAAGGGACTGTTTACAATTGCTAGAAAAAAAAAATACCCTGTAAATAAACAGCCAGCTCCTTTGCTGGGAGACAGATGACCAAATCATTCCTCAACTCTGACTCAGCAGAGGACCCAGGTGGTCACTGTATGGATCAGTCGTGAGTGGAGTAGGACAGCTTCAGTCACAGGTGTGAAATGCAAGGAAAGAAAGGGGGTCAGAAAGGGGTAATGGAGAGGGAAGTTACTTATTCCAGGTCAGTCAAAACTTTTGGGCCAAATTTAACTCATTTTCAGGTCTTTGCTAATAGGAGTGAGACATCACTATTTGTATTAGTCTGTCTCATGGAGCAGCAGGAATTGATGAACTGGGAGGCTCTCCATTTTTGATCCCCTCCTGCTGAGCACAGTGGGGGGCTTATCCTCCTGTTTTATTCCTTTGAGCCACTGTGACACAGCTGGCTGGACACCTGTGGTACCTTCCTAGAAAGAAGCTGAATTTTTATACTGAAATAAAGAGCTGGAATATTAGATCATTGCCCCTAGGATTGTTCTCAGGAGGCAGGATGCTTACAGTTTACCCCCTTCCCATTTTGGGAGGGAGAGGAATTTAGGCCTAACAGTTGACTTTATTCTCTGGAAATCAGTCTGGTGCTAGTCTGGTAACTTATCTGAATTTTTGTGAACATTTCTTTAGAGTGCTCCCAAATTCCTCTGGGATTGCCTCAAAGGACCCTGGATCCACTTTGTTTCTCCTCATTAAAAGACAAAGGGAATTCAAGGCATTGCAAATCACAAACAAATGCGAGGTCAAGCTGCCAAAACAACCACTTTTTTTTTTTTTTTTTTGATAATCGCTAAACTTTCATCTAAACAACCATTGTCAAATCTCTGGATTTGGCTACTCATAGCACTCTCATTGAAGATAGTTTAAGGGTGCAGGGGTGGGGGTTTAATAAAAGGAAAGTGGGGGAAGCACCCATGGGTGACTGCAACTGCACTAGCCCCCCTGAACATAGTTATCACCTTCCTCAGGTGTCTCAGGGAGTCAGCTGCAAGGGTGGGGATTGATTCCGGGCCGCATAATTTATGAGTGGACACTTGTGTGACCTCAGATTTTCCACCAGACGACAGAACTCAGGTGAGACTTCAAGTAGGGGTGATCTTTCTGCAGCTGGCAGGTACCATTAGGAATGGAAGTGTGCTCGCAGTACAAAACTGGAAAGGGCCGTGGAGGAAACAGGTGCAAACGCCTGGTCCTTCCAGAGGCAGAACTTTGCGCGCCTCCCTGAAACCCTAAGCTACCATCGCCCACCACCCAGCAAAGCTGCTGCCAGCTCCGCCCCGCACCCCGGCGTCCCTTCTGTTCACTGTCTCTCAGCTCACTCCGCGGTGGTCGTTTGTGCGTGGGCCGAGCCCGGGGGAGCTCAGGGCAGGGCCCACGTCCAATCAGGTCACCTAGCTCCGCTCCTGTCTATCGAGCTTGTTCGCTTTAAGTCCAGTCACCAAGGCGGCGAAAGGCATATAGCCCACTCCCCCGCGCCCACTTAAGCAGAAACTGTGCAACCCCTGGGTCCAAAGGCGGGGGATGGGGGTGGGGATCTTGAGTTTTGTGCTTAAGTTTAGGGACAAGATTCTGATAGTCAGATTCTGAGGGATCCTGGGTTTTGTAAGGAATCTTGTTTACTTGGAGACGCTGACCTTGACCAGTAAGAGAAAACAAATTTCCCACCTCTCATTTGAGCTCTGGCAACCTCTGCAGAAATCCCGGCACCTCACTCCCACCCCTGAGCCGGAGGCCCCCTCCTTATCCAGTCCTGCTAGCCCTCCTTCACCTGCCGAGGGCCCTCCCAGACCAGCCAAAGTCGGTTTTGAGGGACTGCGAATTGGTGGCGAGTCCCCTCACCTGCTGAGGTCACCCACGAAACTGCCGCTCTTCTCGTCCAGAAAGCGCTTCCAGCCGTCGGCTGTCTTCACCCAGCTCTGCCCAGGGGACCGCCAGTCCTGCCCGAGGAATGGCATGGCACCGAGAGCGGATGCGACCTACCGGACGGGCTGCCGACGAGGGATCGGCCTGGCCGGCCCCGGGGATGCGCTGCCTTGGGCGGATGCTGGGGGTGGGGGTAGGTGGGAGCGCCGCCCCGCGACCGGGACAAGTGCAGGGACCCGGCGTGGGGGCTGCGGACCTGGGTGGGCACAGGCGCTGGGGAGGGTCGCGCGTGGCGTCGGCTCCAGGCAGTGCTGCGCCGCTGCCGGGGCCGCAGTATTTATCCGCGGTGGTTGGCCCAGACTCTTTGTTGCCGGAAGAGCCGCCTGCTCTTAGCCCGGCCCAGCGGTCCCGAGGCCACGTGGCTTTGTTTATGGGCTCGTCTTGTTTTCCCAGGCGCCGGTGGCTCTAGCTCGGCTGACGCTTGCACAACCTTGCGCCTCTGGAAACTTGAAGCCGCGCGGCCAGGCCAGATGTCCCGCCGCCCCTCGGTCCCCTGGCACCTCTGCGCCCCCACCCCGCCCCCAGGGCGCAGCTGCCGCCGCCGAGATCCCGGCCCTGCGCATGGGAAGCGGAGCCGGGGCCTCCCCTCTGCTCCGGGGCTGGCTAGGTGCCCGGCGCGTAGTCCGGGCCCCCTGGGGTGGGGGGCGGGGACCGCCTGTCCCCTCGGGTCCCTAGGCTCTGCAGACAGATCAACCCTTGGGGAGGCCCGAGCTAGGACTGGGCACAGCCTTTCTGCCTCTCTCACTACCAGTACCCGACTCCAGGCGCCAGGGTGTGCTAGGGCGAGGAGGGGACCCGGAGCTGCGGGGTGGGGAGGAGGGACAGCCCACCCACCCCTACCCGTCTTCAATCTGTCTTTAAGGTGTGTGCTGTCAGGCCTGGCTCCCCCAGTGGCAAAGGAAGGGAACACGGGATAGGGGGAGGAGCCAAGACCATCTGGACCCCAAGGTGTGGAAGTGGAGAGTTTCGACTGGCCCAGGTCCCACCCCAGGGATTCAGATCAGAGCAGGCGTCCAAGATGCCTGGCCAGCAATAACGAGGCAAGGGAGTTTGGAAGGGGCCTCCGTGCCATTCACACTGTCCAAAATTTGCTCTAGTGCTCCAGGGCCAGGCTTTTGTCCGGAGGAACCACCGGAACCCTCCCCTCCCTTCCCACAGTTCTCCATCTTCTCCTGGAAATACCAGGCCGTGAGTTTTTGTCCACTTTAGAGAAGGGGGAAGACAGATCAGGAGGCTCACTGCACTCCGCGGCGGAGGCCCTCACTCAACCTGTTAGGAACATGACACCCGGCGGGCGTCGCTGGGTGCTGTCCTGCTGGTTTTCAGGTGAAGGGCCTGAGGTGCCCAGAGAGGGGTTAAACCCAGGACTAGCCTGGGCTTTATGGCACTTTCTTTTCAGCTCCTACTACAGTCTAAAAGTACAGCGATTTTACTTTCTGTTTTTGTGGACAATGTACAATCTACCGCTCCCTGCAGAATATAAATTCCATCAGAGCTGGTCTTTTTATTCTAGAGACATCTCAACACAGCAGGCCAGGTCCAGAGTGGCCTTTCACAAGCAATTTCTCTCTTCTCTCTCTCTCTCTCTCTCTCTCTCTCTCTCTCTCTCTCCCCCAGAGGTCAATATCTGGTGTCTTCCTCTATTACTGTCCACATTATTTTATATTGCACCTCTCCCTGAGTCTGGAGCTCACCCATTGGTTAGAATGGCCAGCCAATGAACTCCCTGGATTTTCTTGCTTCTGCCTCCCAGTGCTGGGATGATGAGCACAGGTGCACTTGATTATTTTACCTAGGTACTGGGGAATCTGAACTCAGCACCTTTCCCACTGAGTCATCTCCCCATTGAGGCATTTCCCTAGCCTCTCCATTAAAAGTCCTTGCGTGAACAAGTGACTATGGCTTCTGGCCCTCTGTCATCACTAGTTAGAAGCTGTGCAGTTCCATCCATCATGGCATGGGGCAGCAGCAACAGAGTAAAATACCCATGCTGTAGATTGGCTCCCAGCTCTCTTCCATACCTCTGCCTCTGCATCCATGGCCTGTATCTCTTCCACTGTCAGCCAAGAGGTTGAGGACACAGAGGAGCCATGTGTGCCCTGTGGGGCTACATGCAGACAGGAGGGAAGGAGATGTCTTTAATAAAGTCTGTTTTCAAGTAGCCAGGGTTTTCTGATTTTGATTTCCAACCATAAATAATTTATTAGTGTACCAATAGTAAAAAAATGGCTTGTAAAAACACTGTAGGTACCAAACAAATGTTAGGCTCTGTGGTCAGACTAAAAGATGAGGCAGTGTTGGGTCTGGGATTTGTTGGAGAGAACTGGTATCTGCAAGGAAGCACAGTTACTGGATGTGATTATTAAAGATGCAGGGAACTACTTCCTGTTAGAAACCACAGAGGGCCAGAAGGGAGAGGATTCTAATTCTGATTCTGCTAAAGCAGCTCACTGCCTCTTCTTCCTTGGGTGAATAACAAGAGGCACCAGTTATTTAAGACAAATGGTGCTTGTGATACCTGCCCTTAAGGATTGCAGAGAAAGTACAGTTGATTGGATTATTTTTGCCAGTTCTTCCCTCTCTAGAGCACTGAGTGTTGTGCATACACACTCTTGCTTTGCCCTCTGGGTGGGCAATGTATACTTTTAAAATTCAGGGCCATCAAAGTGTAGAGAATAAGAGACTGTAGAATTCAAATCCCTGGATAGGACTCCTATATTAGATGTCACCCACCCAGGGCTCAGGGACCATTACAGAAGAGGGGACAGAAAGATTCTAAGAGCCAGAGGTGGTGGGTGACCATAAGGAAACAGTCTTCCAGGCTCTTGGGAACTTGCTCATATGAACCTACAGCAATGGTGACAGCATGCACAAGACCCATGCAGACTTAGACAACAGCTAGCATAGAGCTGGGGAAAGGGGTAGGAGGCTCCAACTTTGGCTGAGGAACTATTGGCAGCTGATCACTGCTGGGTGAGGGAGAATCGATCTTCTTGATTCTAGATAGGCTGAACAGGCTTCAGTGGATGAACTCACACCTAGGGACATCTGGGTATGCAAACTTGATAGGCCTTAACATATATGACAGACTGCATCAAATCCTATGGGTGGGCTATAAGGGGTGCAGATAGAGGAGGTCTAAATATGATTAAAATACATTGTATGAAATTTAAAAAAATCAATAAAAATATACATTGAAAAAAATTCTTGGCCATGTGACTTGCTTTGGCCAATATGGTGGTAGTGTGTGTGATGTGTGCAGAGGTTACTTGCCTGGCTGGGCTTGAGCACTTGTGTTTCTAACAGTTTCATACCTTGGATGGTCACTATTCTGAGCTGCTTGAGTTAGCTACCATGTGATCTGGATGTGACACATGGAAGAGATATCCCAGTTATGTTAGCAAGAATAATTGAATGCCAGTGAGGTTTTATTCAGCATTATTATCCCAATAGCTTACTGCTACAGAGTCAAGTGGCTGAAAGTTAAAGATTTTTTTTTTAAATTTCCAAAATTCAAACATAAGTAGAAAAATCACATTTTTAAAAACACAGTGTTATTATCTCAATAGCTGGCTTCTATGAAGAGTCAAGTGGCTGAAAGCTGATGAAAGATTTTTTATAAAATTCTTAAATTCAAACACAAGTGAAAAATCATATTTTTTGGTCCCTGGTTTTTTCCTTTATTTTTGTCTAAGAGCTAATCTCAGGAAGCCTCAGTATTTGCTTGCATCCTTCAACTTTCTCCTTCTAAAAAAAGTGTGTCTAGCATACTTTAACTCAGACCTATTTGAAAGTATAATAGACTGCTTTGCATTCTTTTTACTATCAAGAATCCAAACGTCTGGGCATGATGGCACACACCTTTAATCCTAACACTTGAGAGGCAGAGGCAGGCAGATCTCTGTGAGTTTGAGGTCAGCCTGATCTACATAGTGAGTTCTAGGTCAGTCAGGGCTACATAGCAAGACCTTGTCTTAAACAGTACAACACAACACAACATAAAACCAAAAACAAAAAAACCCAAATCTAACTTAACACTTCATCAGAGACAGGTTTCAATTAGAAAGCCTTGTAATGCTGGGCCCTTTAAAATAAATGTCCTATTCTATTGCTGTGATAAAACAACCTTGTCTTAAACAGTACAACACAACACAACACAACATAAAACCAAAAACAAAAAACCCAAATCTAACTTAACACTTCATCAGAGACAGGTTTCAATTAGAAAGCCTTGTAATGCTGGGCCCTTTAAAATAAATGTCCTATTCTATTGCTGTGATAAAACACCATGACCAAGGCAGTTTATAGAAGTTGTTTATTGGGCTTACAAATCCAGGTGGGATTACAGTCCATCAAGGTGGAGAGGCATGGTAGAAGGCAGTGGGAGCAGTAAACTGGGGGCTCACATCTTTACCCCTAGAGCTACCTTCTCTAACTGAGGTACCTTACCAGTTGGTGAGGTCAAGAGGGAAAGTGATTAAAAGTGACTTCTGGGGCTAGAGAGAGATGTCTCAGCAGTTAAGAACACTGGCTGTTCTTGCAGAGGACCCAGATTCAGTTTCCAGCACCCACATGGCAGCTAACCAATGTTCCTAACTCCAGTTCCAGGGGAATCTGATGCCCTCTTCTGACCTCCCTGGGTATTGCAGGACATGGGTGCCCTTACATACATGCAGACAATACACTCATAAACATAAAATAAAATAGGGGCTGGAGAGATGGCTCAGCGGTTAAGAACACTGACTGTTCTTGCAGAAGACCTGGGTTTGAATCCCAGCACCCAGATGGCAGCTAACAACTGTCTGTAACTCCAGTTCCAGGGGATCCAACAGCCTCTTCTGTCCTTCGTGGGCACTGCACAACCCTGGTGCACTTACCTACATGCAAGCAATACATGCATACACATAAAATAAAAATAATAAATATATATAAAAAAGTGATTTCTTTGAAAAGATATGCAAATATGCATATGCAAATATGCAAATGTCTCTGATGACAGATGCTGGCCTGCTGAGAGCACTGCACCCAGCATTTTACAAACACCATCTTGCTTAGTACTCCTTGCAAGCCGTGAGCTGGGCGAGCATGTGTGAGACCACATTGTCAAAGACACACACACATTGCACAAATTTATTCTGTCCATTTCCTCCTAGGACTGTTTAGAGACATTGTTTGTGGAATAGTATGTGAAAAACTTGATGAGTCTCAAGTGCTTTGTTGTTT